TAACATCATCCCGAATTCCAGTCATAGAGAACTATTGCATTGTGATTGTAATTTATTCAATGGAGACTTGAAATTTTGCACCACCAAAATTCCTTTTGGGCTTCACTTTTTGGTTTGTTATTGCAGAGAAATTCCGATTCAGTACTGAATTTATTGAGATGAGGCGGCAAGGATTGGATATATTTGTAAATAGGATAGCATCACATCATGAACTTCAACAAAGTGAGGACCTGAGGATGTTTTTGCAGGCAGAAGAAGAGGTGATGCCTTATCTTCAGTAGACTATTTATTCCTCTTTGCAGCTGTATCTCTTTTAGATGTGATTGGCTTTATTGCTCTTCCCTTTTTGTTTTTCCTCTTCTATCGTTGTGCCATGTAACTGCGCTGTTTCTTATGAGTCCAAATCTTCTGTTCAATCTAACCATTGTAACTAAAATAACTGTCTAGCTTGATGGTGAGTCTCCTTAACTGACCGTCAATTCGTCAAATGCTTGATTCCAAATTTTGTAGCTCATTTTAGTGATTGATATATAGAAAATTGAAGTATGCATTATGGTCTCTGATTCCATGACTACCTTAAAACTACTGTACATGCTGGAGAGTGTGGGATATGGAATGTGCAAGACTCATAATATTTTTTTTTTCCTGTTCTCTCCCATGTTTGATGTAGGTGTACTATTGTATTTGTAAGTGCTCTAGTTCTGCTCTTTTTCTCACATTTGACTTTTAAGGGGGAGAAGAAAAACCTAATTTAAGCTTGATTTCATTAAACATACTATGCAGACTATGGAAAGACTAAGGTCCCAAGAGACAGGCATATTCAAGAAGAAGCCATCTGATTTAATGCAGATTTTTAAGGTAAGACATGTTCTAATGGTATCATGGAATATGGATGGTTTTCTTTGACTAGGTTGAAATCTGTTAGATGGAGTTATTTAAAATTTGATTCCCACTAATTTCCTGTCTGAAATAACCTAACAATTGGTGCGTTTTTTGGTCCTCTTAGTAGCTATGAAGACATGGGCTTTGCATGAAATATGTCGGAAATAATGAAAATAAATGTAGTGTAATTTAAATTCTTACAAGTTACTCAGTAAAACTTAAAGAATTCGTTTTATTGATTTCAAGAAAAAAGATGATGAGGGAGAGATAATGGTAGTGTGGAATTAGATTTTGTAATTCTAAAACTATTTAAAAGAAAACTGTTCAATAATAGTAATAGTAATAAAAAGCACAGTTGAGACTGTGACATAGTGGGAATTACTTATATTATTTGAGTCTAGAAAATCAGTTAATATTCGAATATCTTTGTTTTAAAAATAATTTTTTTTGGAATGGAAAAGGATGCTATTGAAATAAAGTCCCCTAAAATGATAAATGAAACTTCCTACTGAGTTTCTTCTTTTAGTATAATTCAGTCAAAGGAAGCTAGCTGACATGAAACCATTTCTAATATGCTTTTAAATTTTCCACAAATCAACACGTCATAGATGATAATGTCAACTGTTGAGATATATAAAACTATTAATGTAACCTCACCCAATAGCTTAAGCTTTTGAGTTGAATTGGTTCTTTACATGATATCAGAGCCTCGTGTCCCGGGTTCGATCCTCGCCGCCCCCCACTTTCTTTCAAGTGAAATTTCTTTGTTCGCACAGGTTGGACCTGTGCATTGTTCACCCTTCAAGCCCAGTGGACTCTCGTGTGAGGGGACGTGTTGAGATACATAAAACTATTAATGTAACTTCACCCAATAGCTTAAGCTTTTGGGTTGAATTGGTTCTTTACATCAACCATAGCATGGAGCAATGGACCGGGAGATTAGTAGGTTTTAGCTTTGTCTTGGATGCACCACTGACATAGTCTGTACTTGATAGTTACATTTTGTTACATTATTGTGAAATTTTGCCACTTCAGTATTTCACTCTCGGATTGTCATTTCCTTGGATATGAATACATTCAATGTAAACAGTCTCTCAGATTGCAATTTTCCTCTATTTCATACATTTGTTTTTGCTAACCTATCCGGCTGAGTGTGCTGTCCAACCAGGTGTCTTATTAGATTCATAATTGCTTGTGAATTTTGATAGGATGTGCAATCTAAAGTGAGTGATGTTGTCCTTGGGAAAGAGAAGCCCGTGGAAGAATCAGGTCCTGAATATGAAAAGCTGAAACATTACATCTTTGAGCTTGAAAACCACTTGGCTGAAGCTCAAAAGCATGCATATCGTCTTGTGAAGAGGCACAGAGGTGATGATTGAATTTAAGATTTCAGTTTGGTTGTCTTCTGTACCTATTGTATTTTCTTTTTTACCCTTATGCGTTTCCTTTTTTCCTTTTATCCACTATTCTGGCAAGATCAATTCATAATTCAAATCTTACTTTATAATGTTCATGCAGAGTTGGGACAATCACTGTCAGATTTTGGAAAAGCAGTAAAACTTCTAGGTGCTTCTGAAGGAAATGCTCTTGGGAAAGCATTCTCTGAACTTGGGATGAAGTCGGAGATTTTATCAGCCAAGCTGCAAAAAGAGGCAAGTCTCCAAGTGCTGGTGTCACCATTATTTTACTGTCTCTTCATACATGTTTCCTTGCATGATGGTATATACATGATATTGAAGGGTGAAAAGAACTATCCTAATATGACTTTGTCAAGCAGGCCCATCAACTCTTGATGAATTTTGAAGAACCTTTGAAAGATTATGTTCGTGCTGTACAGTCTATTAAGGTAGGCTTGGTTTTGTTTTCTTTCATTATTTAAAACTAAATCATCTAACCTGATTAAGATATTGTTTGTGTTTTTTCCTTGAAATAGATATCCCAATTAATTGACCTCAGTAAAATTGTTTTCAAATATTAGAACCCCTCCCCAAGAATGGAGTAAAATGGATTGTTATACCTTATTTTTCTATCTAATGCTCGTTTTACATTCTGAAACAGGCGACAATAGCAGAGAGGGCCAATGCCTTCAGGAGACAATGCGAACTGGCTGAAACAACGAAGCTGAAGGAGATTAATCTGTATACTCCCCAGTTCTCAGTTTTTATTATTTGCCTAATTTAGTTTGTATGGCAGACTGATTCCCTTTTTACGTAACATAACATTATTTGGCTGAATTAGCATTCATAATCTGTTGCATAAGGCCCTGTACTCCGGACCAAATCTCTTGTCTGTGTATGTGAATGCAAATAAGCCTTGTTTGTGTCTCATATTCTGGAAAATGAATAAATTTGAGTTTTTTCTTTTTAGTCTGGCTGATGGGCTAGAAGATTGCTTGGTGTCTTATATTCTGATATATATTATTGTTTGGAATGCAGTGACAAACTCATGCTGATTCGATCTGATAAAGTTGCAGAAGCTGAGCATGAATATAACGAGGCAAGTTTGCTTATTATTGGCATCCATTGGGTGATAGATTATATCTACAGTTTGTTTGGCTGGACTAACATGATTTTGCCATGCAGTTGAAGGCAGAGAGTGAACAAGCAACAAAGACATTTGAGACGATTGTGAAGTTAATGAATGAAGAAATAGGGCGTTTTCAGGAACAGAAAACATTAGACATGGGGATTGCTTTCCATGAATTTGCCAAAGGTCAGGCACGCCTAGCAAACGGTATTGCAGATGCGTGGCGAAGTTTGCTTCCTAAACTGGAAGCATGTTCCTCCTCGTAGAGAATTTATCAATGAGTACTACATAGCATAGATGAAGTACTCCTTCACGGGTGGTTACAGGGACTAGGGTATGGCAGAGGCAGGCACGCAGCTCTTGTTTTGTTAAAGGGCTTTCAGGAGAGTTATCTGCTGTTTCGAATTGTGTTGTAAAAGATGTGATTTTCTTACCACTTGATTTTGTACAAATTTTAAACAAAGCAAAAAGCAACGTCTTTGAAATGCAATTTTTAGAACATCACTAGGACCCAATTCTAGTCACCGGACTCCGCCCGTGTTATTTTCCACTTTGTTGCTGCTGCTGCTCGCACTATTCTCCCCTGTATACGAAAATATAGTTACAACTAATTTACAAGCACAAAAGAGAATGTTGTTTTTAACTTTGCACAAGGTTTTGATTCACCAAGTTGAATCAATCTAATGAATCTTGTGCAAGAGTGAGACTTACTGTGGTTGAAATAGGTCTCTGAGTAGTATTATTCTGTTGTTAGGCGTGGTGTCGAATTCACAAGGGCTATTCTTTTCTGAATAAGACCGTCAAGTTGTTTTCACGCCTCGTGATTAATATTGGCTCGAGTGGGCTCGTCTTGTTAGCAAGGTAATTCTAGTTAATTTTAAACATATATATTCTTATTATTGTAAATAAACCCAATTTGACTACTCACATTTTAATGGATTCTCATTTTAGCTTTGTCATTGGTTGCCAAAACTACTATACCTTATTTTCTGGCACATAATTACTAGCATTTTTTTTTTTGGTAAACTTACTAGCATTTTTTTATTCAGTACGGACGAACCCTTTTTACAAATTATTAAATAACATTTTAAGCCATTTTACAATTTTTTTAAAAAGAATGGAGATTGTACATATATTATAGGCATAACTGTTGTTCCTTATTATTAAGGCCTTTTGAGTCTTTGACCATACCCATGCTATACACATCAAACTTTATGCTAATAAATTGTTCTGTGGATATTCTATTTATTTTTTTCATACCAATTTTATTTACTCATTTTCAATATTATTAGATTAAAATCTCAATTGATTTTATTCTTTCTCTTTCTTATATTATGATATAAGATATTAGAGAAAAATAAATAAAATATGCATCAAAGAAAAAGCAGGGACAATACCCTATTCTTTACCTTACAAACGTAAAAAGTTTTGAAGTTGGCTTTAAATGGGTCAAATAGTTTATTATAAATCCAAGTACATAAAATTCCTAGTGCAATGCGAATAGTAGCTACGTGGGACTCTCCCTAACACCAAAAAAACAATCGCATGAAGCATAATATCCACTACCAATAGATAAAAGAATATTGAATATATTATTACCAGCTACTCACTCCACTTAACAGAGAATTGTGTTGAGGAATGGCAATGGCATGCGGCATTGTAAGACAGTGCGTGTACGTGAGTGGAGTGAATTTCCATGTTCCCTTGTCTTCCCCTTCCTCTTCCCTCATTCCTATTCACCACAACAGTACTCTCCACTCTTCCGTGCTTCGCAACCGCATTCATCTCACGGCGGTGCCCGTGCCGATACCCAAAGCCTCGGCGAGGAACGACGGCCCCGTATCTCCGAACACCGACGACGACGGAGTCTCTCTGGGCACCATGAAACTTCCTTTGGACACTGACCTTCAGAGATTTGATTCCTTGCTGTTTCAGGTTATAACGTTAACTTCGTAATTTTGATTTTGATACTTTCTGTTTGTAATGTAAGGTAATAATAATCAATTTACATTTCATGAATTGTTGTTCAATAACGCAAATATGATATATCTCCGAACGTGTCACGTTATTTAATTGTTGTTAATATTATTATTATTTTGGTTATTTAATTTGTTGTAATCATTGTGTACTGTTTCATTTACATGATTTTTACTCGCTTGGACTTTGGTTGTGTTTTGACAGTGGGCAAACAGTCTTTGCCAGGGAGCCACTCTGCCGCTTCCCGCGCCTCTCAAGGTATGTTCTTCCCTAATGCATTTCATTTTATGGTGGTCTTAAGCAATTATGCATTCTTCCATAATGGATCCCCTCTCATGTTAAATTTTATCATGATTCTCAGTATGAAAACTTTGTGGCTATATCTATCTCTATCTTGATTGTCCATCACAAATATGATAGAGTCCCACTTATTTAATCTTTGTCAAGAGAAAGATAGACATAAAATTTTAAAATTTTCACATGATTAGGTCAGATGGAAAACTCATATGAGAGGATCCATTCTTGTCTGGTATACTTGTTGATCAGTCCAATAAGATTGGGTTGGATCACACACGGTTGAGTATGTTCCAATATCTATCTGGTCTTCTCTGGAATGGATGTTGTTGGGGATACCTTCGCGAGATGCTTCAGCGAGATCTTTTGCAGGATGGAAAGTCTGGTGTTGGGTTGTCTTAATTGGTTGGGACAAATTGGGAGGTACCTGCAAAACACTCTGACGCTCAAGTTAGTATGTGAGCAATGAGTTTAAGTCAAGATGAATTAGATGATCATACTTGGGCTTCAAGCCTCCGTTATATAGTAGTTGATTGTCTTGCTTATGCGGCCTTAGTACAATGGCATTTAACATCATTGGTGGGCAGAAATGGCTCATGCAAGCTATGTGCGGGATGTCTAGTTGTGGGCTACACCTTATAGGCAGGGGCGGACCGAGGGGGGTGCTAGGGTAGGCGGCCGCCCCCCTCAAAATTTGAAGAATTTTTTTAACATAAGTATAATGCAAGAAACTTACATTTTTTCTCTCCATTAATATGAAGTATTTTGTAAATATAATATTTTCCTTAAATTATAGTTTAAATCTCGACTTGAAACTAACAGTTTTAACTTTTATCATGCTTAGATGTTAGCATAAATCTCCTCATCCATGATTAAAAATAAGAAGTGTGAGAGTCTTATTAAAGAATGAACCTTATTCTTTCGATCCCTCTCCTTTTCTGATGATTCGTGACAGAGAGGGAAGTGAGGGGCAGAAGGGTTTTGGTGATTGTGCTTCTTGGCAATCTCTCTTCTGATTTATCTTTAGCTTTTCTTGTTGGGCTAACAGTGAGTAAATAGAAAAAGAGGTTAAGAAATGAGAGGGGTCTGCTTTGAATTATCTATTTAGATTATAGTAATTAGTATATATTTTTTGTGAAATCTAAACCTTTGCTCTCTTCTCTTTTTCTTTGTTTTCTTTGCATAAAAATGTTCATTTTAGGGATTGAAAAGGTGTAGTTTTTTTCAAATTGATAGTAGATTTTACTGTGACATCTTTCACCTTTCTCTCTTTGTCTCCTTCTTTCTCTCTATAACAAGTTAAAAGAGGTATTTATGAGTTATGTTCTGGATTGGTGTTTCGGCCTCCCACATATTGTGGTTGAAGAGAAGAACAAATATTTAATTTTTCATATTTTGACCTCTTATATATTATGTTTGAAGAGAGAAATAAATGTTTAATTTTTAGCCCCCCACAAGAAAAATTCCTGGGTCCGCCACTGCTTATAGGTGTAGCTGGAATCAGATATTTGCCCTTTAGCTATTGGCTATCAGGGTGACTATGGAGTTCTGAGCTGCTAATGTCGTGTGGCTGAACTGCTGATGCTGTAACTATATGCCTACAGGATGGATATGTTTACTTTGCCTTTAAGTCTTGGCTTTTGTGCCTTTGATCTCGCATGAGATAGGCCCAGATCACCTATATATGGCCATTCTCACATGAAAGCAACATTGGTAGAAGGGTCCAGAATTCGCATACACTTCTCAATCCTTTGGTGCATTGTTGTTTAATTGCCTGCTTGAGTTTGTATTAATGGGGTGTGCCCAGAGTGAAAGGTGGCAACAGAGTGAGATTAAGATCAATTTGATTGTTTACTTCTTGTCAAAGATTGTGCTATATAAGAGCATAGGTTTTTGGGAGCAAATCTTGCTTTCAGTCTGCATAATTTTCCCATTATTCGCAGCTGGACTGTCAGTCTGTCACTCATGTAGTTTCAAGTCATATTTGCTAGAAATGTCTAGGAGAAAAAAATATAATGATTAGTTCATTCTCACAATTAGTTTTGGCTGTTCACTCTCTAACTCTTCTATTGCTATTTGATTTGGTAGTCACAATTAGAAGTGATTGGATCATTGTCATAACTGTTTGTTTAAAACAAACATAGTGAGAATTCAACTTATAGTTGCTTGTAGGTTATTTATAACTCAGGTCACCACTATAATAAGATGATGCTTGTTCAATGCTTCTTAAAAGTATGTAACAATCTTCATTTCAATTAAGCAGGTGGACAAAATAGCTGGTGGAGCTAGATTGGGTTTTATCACCATTGGAGATGGGAAAACAGAAGTTCTTGTTTATATTGACTGCTTGGTTTTTCAACCAACTGACAATTCTGCTCCAATTTTCCGTGCTATTAGAAATGGGCCCTTAAAAGATAAGGTACCACCGGGTGAGCCCAGAATCATGAGGAGCCTTATGCAAGCTCTTCAGAAATCAGTTGAAATCGCCAGATTGTAATTGCTATAATATTTTTATTTTTTTTTCCTAATGAACTTGTCGGGTTTTCAGCTGAAAATTAACTTGAAAAAAGTTTGAGTTTGATATATATATATATATATATATTTTTTTTTTTCCAATTCATTTATCCGATATTATGTTTACTTACTGTATTATCATATAAGCTGACATGGAGCTGACGTGGATCTTTTTATTATAACTAATATCAGTTAGTTAATATGTTAGTTATTAGTTAACTGATAATTTAGTTATCTTCTTTTCTTTCTTGTTTGTAATTAACTAATATATATATATATATATATATATATCTCAGTTCTTTGATGTATTTCATTAGCTTTTGATCAATAATGAAAGTTTCAGTAATTTCTGTTAATATGGTATCAGAGCTCTGACAAAGAGCTCTGGTATTCATCTGAACTTCTTGTTTCTTGTTCGTTTATGTTCTTTCTTTCTTCCCTCAATTGATTTTTTTCTTTTCCATTTACAAAATGGCAAATGTTCTTCCAGATCATTTGACAAACCTAGGAAATCCATATTTCCTTCATTCAGGTGAAAATCATGGATTGATTCTTGTTTCAACTCTTTTTGATGGAAAGAATTATTACTCATGGTCTCGTGCTATGAAGATGGCACTTCATTCAAAGAATAAATTGTGTTTTGTTGATGGTACAATACCAATTCCTAATCCCATAGATGCAATGTATGATACATGGCAGAGATGTAATATGATGGTTCTGTCGTGGATTCATCGTTCAATAAATACAAATATTCTGCAATCAGTCTTATGGACAGAAAATGCAATAGATGCATGGAATGATCTTCATCAAAGATTTTCACAAGCAGATGCATTCAGAATTTCAGATCTTCGGGAGGAAATCTATCGCATTCATCAAGGTGAACGTTCTGTATCTGATTTTTACACTCAAATCAAAGCTCTCTGGGATGAATTTGAAACTTTACAGCCACTTCCTGTTGGACAAGTGACCTCAAACTCAAGAGGGGAGTGAATTGAGTTTTAAAAATATTTTCACAAAATGCCTCACTTCCTTTCTTGAAAGCGATTTTCTTGACTTAATATAATTTGGCACAAGCAAAGCTTAGAGAATAGAAATTAATACAAGCAAATAGTATGTAATGTGGAGATATAAATAAGTTCAAGTAATTAAATAATGCTAATGTAAAGAGATAAGGAGTTAGAGAGATTGCAAACACTATATATCCTGGTTCGGTCACCACCACCGTGACCTACGTCCAGATTGAAATCGCCCGTTCAACTTTCCACTAATTATCAAGCTTCAAGGGTGCTTGACGAACCACTACAACCTTCAAGAATATAGATTCTTGAAACCTTTACACTTCCACTCACTTACTTAGGTTATGAGCAACCTTTTTCACTAGGGTCTCACTACCCTCAACACAAATGAACAGAATGAGAGTATTTAGAAAAGGATTTGTACTCTTGAAGTACAAATTATACAAGTTGAAGCTTATAGGTATTGATCAATGACACAAGAATAAAGCTCAAGGATGATTTATGATCAAGATGATGGAAAGTAAGCAAATGATGTGAAATAAAGCAAGAATTGTGATTTTTAAAGGTGTCCCATCAAGGGGAACAGTGATCACTATTTATAGAGAGTCCCCATGACTCTTTGCACACTCATTTTCGCAAAACTAGCCGTTTAGGAATTGGGTGAGCGGCTCCTGAAGCAGTGTGGGATTTTGCAGAGCCGAGCGGGTATCTGGTATTGGAAGAGGGCACCAGAACCACCTGAGATCCCACTCCACCACGATGCTGAGATGGAGGATGCACCTGCAGGTAAATGTATTTTGGGTTTAGGGTAGCAGTAGGGTTAATGTTTTTGCATATTGAAATTTTAATGTCTAACTTTTATGATGTTGATGCAGGCCTTGATGATGATGACGAAGATGATGTTGCTGCTGTTGATCCCACTCCTGCACGTCCCACTCGCATCCGGCGACCACCAGCTCCTCCATCTCTTGAGGGTGGATGGACAGCTCCTGAGGGAGGATGGACACTTGATCATGTGATGTCCTCCATGTATACCCTGACATGTGGCCTTGACTCCTTGACCACTGAGTTTAGGGGCTATAGACAGAGCACAAGCAAGTGACGAACAACGACCGAAAGTAGGGTGACATGCTTGGAGGCTGGAAGCCAAGGGGGTCATCACACTGGTGAGGAGGCTAATGTTGCTGGTGAGGATGACGATGATGAGGACGAGGACGATGATGGGGAGGATACGCAATCGGATTCCAGGCAGTAGGGTTTAGGGTGACATGGCGGGGGTAGATTTGCCTTGATGTATTTTGTGTTTGTTAGGCAACCACCTTGGATTATTGTGTATGTATGCAGCCCATTTTTTGTGATATTGGGTTTTATCTCATGATGTAATCATGTCTTTTTTGAAATATATGAAGAACCCAGTTATGAAATTTGGTGTTTTTTTAACTTGTATTGTATTGTCCAAGTTTTGAATGAAATTTGAAGTAAATTCTATGTCAATTTTTAACTTGCATACCTCGAAATTTCATTGGCGCACATCAACCTATCCGATTACAGTATGTGCCCAACATGGATATAGATACTTAATATAAACATGCAACAAATTTAAAAGTGGGTCAAAATCTTTGACAATATATTATGACTAGCTTATTTTGTAAGTTGACGTAACACAAACAAATCGAAATATGCCATCTATGATATATGTTGATATGATATGATATAAATAACCTCTAAGAAGATTAATAACCTCTAAGAAGATTAATGTAAATTTCATATTTGTAGATTGACACCTAACACAAAATAAATTATTTATGTTAACTTTTATCAACACAAACACTATATAAATTTAAAAATAAATAGATTCGAATACAAATATCTTCGTTTCATATGCATGTTATGTCTTGAAAATTGTCGCCTCCAATTTCAATGGAGAATTTTGATGTATTTGTCATTATTATTATTACATCACATTTACGCTAATTTCTTCATATAATAATAATTAATCCGCCAACATGAGTAATGAGTAATGACAAAATGTTGAGGTTCGAATAATCGAAGGAAATATCCTTAACACATTCAGTGCACGTGGTGTCATGATGACTATTTCATTGTTACCTACTTACCTTATTACTTTAAGGTTGGGTTTCCATCCCTTTTACATTTTCCATTTTCCATTTTCCACCATTCATAAACCCTTCTTCTCAACCCAAATTTACCACTTTCATTCTTCCACTCTATGAACTCTAAACCAAAACAATGACCACTTTCTCTCTCTGCTCTCATGTCCCTTCCTTCACGGTTCCTCCTTTTCCTTCTTCACCCTCTAAGAACTCAATTTTCTGCACCCCCTTCAAAGGAATCACCAAGCAATTCGCTTTTTCCAAAAGCACCCTCTTGCAATTGCAGTCACGGATAATTGTCTTCTCTTCTTCAAAGGATGCGGGCCCCAGTGACAACATACCAAGGTTGTGAATCCTAGGACTTTGTTTTTCCTTTGGTTTTTGTTTGCTTATTCTTTTGGCTATTGGGTGTTTCTAAATTGATTGGACTGTGAAATTTTGCTATTGGTTTGAGCAAAAAGTTCACTTTTTTTTTTTCTCTGTTTTTCTTTTTTTTTTAGCAGCAACTTTTGCATCATTGAGGGGCCAGAGACGGTTCAGGATTTTGTTCAGATGCAGCTGCAGGAAATTCAAGACAATATAAGGAGCAGGCGCAGTAAAATCTTTCTTCTCATGGAAGAGGTAAGCTTATAGTGGCACTCAAGCACACCTTAGTGGCCATAGTCTATGGAAGAGTGTTAGTTTTTATTCATAAATCATAGAAACATACTTTTAATACTGAGAATTGATTCAATTGAATATGACAGGTAAGGAGATTACGTGTGCAGCAGCGCCTAAGAAGTGCACAAAAAGTTTTCACTGAAGAGAGAGATGAGGAAGCAAATGAGATGCCTGAAATTCCATCATCAATTCCTTTTCTTCCTCATGTGGTGAGTCTCAAAACCTTGTTTTGATTAGGCTATGGTTATTGACTGAAACATCCTCCCATGGTTTGGTGAAATATGAAGAGAAATGTTAGAGAAATATATAGAAAACCTTTAATATTAATATAATCTTCTCATAACAATTTAAGATTTTGGGTTGAGATGTGGTGTCGGGCTCATTTGTTGTGGTTGGATTGAACTGTTTGCTTTGCGTGGTATCAGAGCCTTTATGACTAATTGGCTACGAGTTTGATTCTCATCGCCTTCATAAATAATTAAATACCGTGAAGTTTTTTAGCATAGATAGGTGGACCTATGCATTCTCCACCTTTCAAGCTTAATAAACTCACGTGTAAGGGATTGTGTTACAGAAATATAATATAAAACTATTAATATAACCTTCATGTAACAGCTTAAACTTTTGAATTGAATTGGTTCTTTGCAAGAATCATATCATATTGGAGAGAAATTCTTTTAAGTAACAAATCACACCAATATCTGTACGTCCTTAATAAGCTGATTGACATGATTCTGTCTAAACATTTTAATAATATGATACACTACGGTTTTTCACACTCGTAAGAGATTTTTGTAGAACCACTTGTGTCAAAACATAACTTTTTGAAGTGGTCTCGTACTTAGTAACTTCCTTTTGTTTCTCTATCAAATGCTTGATGTGATTGATATAAAATTGGAGCATTTGTCATTTTCCATATTCACTAACCATATGTTTTTCTTATTGAAGTAGACGCCCAAGACTTTGAAGAAGCTCTATCTAACCAGCGTGTCATTCATATCTGCAATAATTGTATTTGGTGGGCTTATTGCGCCGACGGTAATTTTATTACATAATGTGTTTTATTGTATAGCAGATAATCATATTTTACAGTTTAATCACTTAAATGTCTTCCAATGGATCCATTTATTCTTTTTATATGTTATAGGGATTTGATATCCTTTATTACCCTTTAGAAGGGATCAATATGTTCAATTTAAACTGTCTCAGATTGTGGCGTTGCGCCATTTATCTTTGAGTTTTATTCTTCCTTTACCATGTTCACTCATACTTCTATGGATTTTGTATCCTGTCATTGTTTGGTACTGGTTTTAATACTACTGTTTTTCTATGCTGAAGTTAATTTGAAAGTGTTGACTTCAATCTTTTGCATCATATTAAATTGAAAAAATACTTCTATTTTTTGCGTGAGAACCATTTCTCTGCTCCATAACTATGTTCCTTTTTATCTTTAATGGGAAGGAAATTTTGAGAATGGATAGAAGAAGGTGATTGAAGGGCATACATGTAGACCTAGACAGAGGAAGTCATTCCCATTAAAGAAATTCAATGAGAAATCTTAGTAAATATAGAAAATTTAGGTCAATTCTGGTTAGCAGTCTCCTATTCAATAAATAATTTCATCAAACCTTGTGGAACATCCTTTTGCAGTGACAATTTGAATTTTGGGTGGAAGTTTAGTTTTAGGGTTATGTTTAGGTATGTTTATAACTTGAATTTAAGATACTTCCTGCCTAAGTGAAAATGATTAAAGATAAGTGGCTCTCAACTTCCCTTTATGCTTTAGTTAGTATATAAGAGTATAGATCTTCGTAAGATGAGAGGGTGCATTTATTCATGTAGTACAAGAAGACCTAGATTTCTGAAATTGTAACTTTTGATGAATGATCAGTAAAAGAAGCAATCTTAAGAGTGAAGGCATAAAAAAACATTGAAGTACCTGATTCAAAAATTTACTGTTAAGTGATTTGATAAAATAATTTTAGTCACTTTGATTTTTTTATCTTGCCTTATAGCTTTCTAGCATTATGGATTTGGCTGCAAAAGCTTATATTTGTTGATGTCAACCATGATCTACATTCATTTCAAATATATATTGAAGCCTTATGTTAATTGCAGCTGGAGCTAAAACTAGGTATAGGTGGTACCTCATACGAAGATTTCATAAGAAGTATGCATTTGCCTTTGCAACTAAGGTATATTGTTCTTTGGTTTTTGTGCTTTATTAATTCGCATATTTCCCTTGGGCAGAAACTGTTGTGTTGATGAATAGCAGATTTGGTTGATCAATACCTGATTACACTTTGTTTGCTTCATGAATGCAGTCAGGTCGACCCAATTGTGGCATCCTTTTCAGGTGGGGCAGTTGGCGTAATTTCAGTACTGATGTTAATTGAGGCTAATAATGTTGAGCAACAAGAGAAAAAAAGGTGCAAGTATTGCCATGGAACTGGTATGTAACTACTTTTTGAAGACCTTCATTCTCTTATATCTCAGTCATTCACATTTTAGACGCATCGCATCTTTCTTTTCTTTCTATTGTTTCTGGATTTATACTGTTTAGAAGAGTGAAAGTTTTGGTGGTTGTGATGAAAGTTTAGTTGCACTCTTCCTTTTTAAGATATGGTAAGAAATTATTCTTATTGCACTTTATATCCTTTACAATATGTTTTTAATTCTATGGACAGGATACTTGGCCTGTGCTCGATGTTCTGCGAGTGGTGTATGCATAAACATTGATCCTATTTCGGTATCTAGTGCTTCTGTCAGACCTCTGCAAGTCCCTACAACCAGAAGGTGTCCAAATTGCTCTGGTGCAGGAAAGGTACATGTTTTGGACCAGTTAAATGGTCTCAACTTTCTCTCCCTACTACATGACATGCATTAAGTATTTTCACTCCACCACGCTTTCATCCACTTCCACTACATATGACTACCCACTAAGCATACTATCACACCATGAGTCACCTGCAAAACCACCCACTATGTGCACAACCTCCATACACTTCATCTATATATAGCCCCATAGTGCATGAGGGGAACATCTCTTCAGTATTCACAAGACCTACCGTTATCATTACGGCTTTTGCACTCGCATATCTTTTGCCCAGAGCACATCCATCCCCTCCTTTTCACTTGGCAGGTGACTTACACACACACCCTAACTATTGCTCATCGGATTGTTGGTTGGAGATACTGTCAGACATCTTTACCGCACATCCATAGATAGAAACACCAGCTTCTATCAATTGAACATCACTGGTGCAATCCAACTGAACAGTACACAATCTGATTACACATATAATTCAATTGCTTGTTATGGCCTTATAGATACTTGGAACTTTTATTTCAAATGGTGAGTGTCTTACTACGTGGTTGTGCAATAGATTAGGTTGCTAACATATTCACCAATTGTTGGTGTAACGTAAAATGCTGACCTATTACTAATCCTCCCTCCCTTCCAGGAAAAAAGAAAAGAAAAATAATATGCATTTGGATACATAATAAATATTGTTGCATGCTGATTAATTTTGATTGTAAGTAGTACTCTCTAACTAACTATTTTACTTGTCTTCCAGGTTATGTGTCCAACATGCCTTTGCACAGGGATGATGATGGCAAGTGAACATGACCTGCGAATCGATCCATTTGACTAACATTATGCATGATCTGGGGACTTATAATTTTGTTGTTCTAAATGTATTTAAAAAATAAGAACTCCATCTCCAAATTTAGCAATGATTTATTTATTTTTTAAACACACTGAATGTAATAATACAACTTAAACATACTGTCTTTAGGCTTTGACATACCTTCTCCGGGGGTGGATAATGTCAAAGTGATTAGCAAATGTTATTTCCATTTCACATATCTTCAATTTATAAGAATCAATGTTATACTTTTTGAGTATGGTACAGCTGAAACTCATTAAGATCAATAATGCTTCATGTCATTAGTAGTCCTTTGAGAATAGTCTAAAATAAAAAGGCACTTGTTTAGTTATTATTTTTAAAATGTGAAATTGGTTGCGCAATAGAGAAGTTTATAATTCAAGCTTTTTGTATTACAATTGGATAGTGTTCGTTAGAAATCGGATGTCTAATAAATCTCAACCTTTCAGAGGGATGGACAAAGGTATGAGAGTGCTATCTAAGGAGTTGAACTTGTCTCTTATTTTTACTGAGGGAAATATTAGCCTTGTGATAGGAGACAACAAGTCTGTTCTACATACTCAAAAAGGTGTGAGGTCTACTTTAATTATTTTTTTTCTCTTTCCTTATATAGTAGGATCCACATAAATTTGTGAGTGTAACATGAGATATCTTATCTTCTATTGCATAAAAAAATATAATCACTTTTACTAAATAAATGAAAACTAAGACATCATGGGCTCACCCAACATTTTTTTATTTTTGAAAACTGATCCTAATTACCTCTTTGAGGTGAATCAGAACCCCCGGTATCCCCACGAGTTCGACTCTTTGAGCCGCCTATGGGACTAATTCAGAATTCTAGTGCGAGTCCAAGGATTACGATACATATGCCCCTCCCCATATGGTGTTGGTGGGATTCGAACGGACACCTAACATTTTTTTGAATCTAACACTAACACACAATAAAAAATAAATAAACTACTCCCCCACTACATATGATTTATTTTTATTTTTTTATAGTAACATACGACTTTTGGGGACCTTAGAATTTCTCTTCTTAGTTTAAGAATAAAAAGAAAACGCTACATAGAATATCTGATAGTTTGGCCGAGTGGTCTAAGGCGCCAGATTTAGGCTCTGGTCCGAAAGGGCGTGGGTTCAAATCCCACAGCTGTCATATTGCTTTTAATTTTTCTTTTTTCATCTCACATTTTCTTTTTCTTTTTTTCTTTTTTTTGTTGTAAAAAATAATAATTAAATATACATTCTCATTAGGCCCAAGCCCAACACTTGATTGGACCGAGATCTGGGCCACGAAACCCTAGAAAATGTCGAGTATAAAAACCATTCTTTTGCTCCTTCTTCCTCCGTAAGAAGCAGCGATGCAGATTTTCGTGAAAACCCTAACTGGTAAGACCATAACCCTCGAGGTCGAGAGCAGTGACACCATCGACAATGTCAAGGCCAAGATTCAAGACAAGGAAGGTTTTCACTTCTTTCATTTTCACTTCACATTCCATTTCCATATTGAATTCGGTTCCTCAGTTACCCAATTTCTCATCGTTGAATTGAATTAACGAAATTGACCAGGCATTCCACCCGATCAGCAGCGTCTGATCTTCGCTGGAAAGCAACTCGAAGATGGCAGAACCTTAGCTGATTACAACATTCAAAAGGGTAACAATATTTCACTTTTTTTTTTGGTTTTTTTTATAAAAAAATATAATTTTTTTTGAATCTATTTACTTAATATATGTATTATAATATAATAACGTTTAATTGTGGTTCCTTCAGAGTCGACGCTTCATCTCGTGCTGAGACTTCGTGGGGGTATCATAGAGCCTTCCTTGATGGCTTTGGCTCGCAAATACAATCAGGACAAGACCATTTGCCGCAAGTATGTTTCTCTCCAACCTTCAATTTTTATGCTTTCATTGTTCTTCTTGTTGATTTCATGATTCCCTTTTTGGGTTATTTTTAATTTCATCTATTTTCATGGTATTTGAGGATGGAATATTGTTTGTGAAGCCTCCTATTAAGTTTTCCTCGTATTTTCATTTGATGGGTTTTGTTTGTGTTTGCTTTTGTTCCAAGATGGGACACTTGCTTATTATAATTTGTTATGTGAGAGTGCAAGAGTGGTCGTGACTTGGGCTTGATCTCATTATTGATTTCTATTTCTAACTTTGTCAACTGGTTTTGTTTACTTTCAGTTGATTTTCATGGGTGGAGTACTGTAATTTTGATGTTCTTTTTGCTAGTATGCAGAGTAGGCCTTAGAAACTAATTCTGTTGAAAGTTTGGTAACCTGGGAGAGTTTTTGGTTCTAAATTTTTTGTATCAAATGATTGTGTTATGTGTGTGTATTAGAATTTTGCTCCATGTCCTGTTTTTGCTTGAATTTTATATTTTTTTGAAGTTTTTGTCTTTGAAGAAGCGTCATCATAATTCTAAATTTATAACGTTCATGTTTTATTGCTTATATTATGTTCTTGCTAAAAAGTTTCACAAATCAAGGATAATTTATTTTACCTTTCTTTCAGTAATGGCTTGCAAATTTTTGTTTGCCATATCCCATCATGTTTTCCCCCCCACTAATTTTCATACTTTGGCTTTGTTAGATGCTACGCTCGTCTGCATCCAAGGGCTGTAAATTGCCGGAAAAAGAAGTGCGGCCATAGCAATCAGGTCAGGGTGATTTCCATTTTATAAATTTTTCGTTTCATCTTTCATTTACTAATGTGCTTTAGTGGTTAAAAGCTACGCAGCACTGAAACGTTGTTTACCTCTTGCAGTTGAGGCCAAAGAAGAAGATCAAGTAAATTATGGCTGATATTTTTCATCTCTTGTTGTGGGGACTCAGGGCCAGTTCATTTACATCGTCACAATTGATCAATATCTCTAGTATGGTGTTAACCAATGTTTAAATGGATTTGAATTTATTTCTGTAGCATTCAACTATAAATACTTTTATGAAGACATTATGATCTCTTTTATGTTTCAGTCTTTAGTTTTTGGGCATGCTTCTCTTTATATTGCAATTTACGGCTGCGTTTTTTATATTGATTCAAATTTATTAAGCGTTCAAGTTACCCGAAATGGATGTACGTACAGATTATATTAATGTATGGTGAACACAATTATTATCCAAGAGTGGTATAGCAGAAATGCAACTAGTCATTGTAATATATGATGCTCTACATTTGGCGTTGTTATCTTTGGAGTACTATATAATCACTTTAAGCGTTGGAATAAGATTTGTAAGCTATATAGAACCCTCGTTAGATAGGTAAGTTGGGTAGTTATCGTTGACTTTAGTCGTTAGGCTCCAACAATATTTTTTAGAATCAGTTGGGTTATATGGCATGCGGTTTGCTGCTGTACATGGAACTGGGCTGAATCAGTAATTAAGGTGATACTCCTTTACTTGGTTCATCAGGCACTGGGTTAGGATCAAAAGGCCTCATACCATGTCTTTCAAGTGTCACTACTATGCTGTCTGCCAACAGTAACGAATTTTGGACACGACACGCGATCAATGTATCCGACATGTTTTTTTTTAGGTCTTAATTTATTTTTTTACGTTAATTAACTAAACGTAAAAAAATAAATTATAAATCAATTTTTTTTTATTATAAAATTTGATATGAAAAATTATTTTTGTTTATATTTATGTTATGAGATTTGAATATTTGATTAGTTATATTACTTATTATGAGTTGTTATATATATTAAAAATATTATTTAATATCAAAATGTGTCCTAACCTGTCGAAATATGATATTTTTTTAGAATTGACGTGTTGGCGTGTCGTGTCCCAACGTATCAGTGTCAATGCAACATAAGCCAACAGCTATGCTTTTCGGCATGATTATATTTATGAAAGCATAATTGTTAAGCTAAAAATGGAGTAGAACCTTTTATTTTTAGCTTGGCTCATTGCAAGTACATTTAACAAGTATCCAGGGATACGGTAGGTATCCGATATGTATCATAATCATATACTGATACGATAAACATTTAAAAGTCAACAGAATAGCGTCACCTTAAAAGAAAATTAAAGGCACAAAAGATAATATAGCTGTTCATCGCACCGGCATCTAACAAGTTATAATTGTAATAGGATTAAGGCTAAAAGTTTACACTCCAGTTTTTGTAGAAAATATGATAAGAAATATCATTCTCTACTCAATTATTTATATTGATTTCCGGCTGGTTAGTTTATATGAGCAGATCCCATGCTCCATGCCTTCAGGTTCTCCACGGTGATATGCTCAGTACCATTATTGAACACAAACAAGTGAGCTTTTTTCTTCACAGCTATCGTTGGATAAACCCTAGATAAGATGTTTGTTTTCCCTCCAGCTCCAAAACTCTCCACAACGGAGTGATCAATCTGCCATTAGAATCAAACATTTAAGTAACTATATAGTATGGTAGTTTTTTTGGTTCCTGAATGTAATAATATAAAACCAAATGGGGGAGTGAGGTTTGTACCAAACTCCTAAGTGATAGTTTCTTATTGGCTAAACCCACATCTACAAAGCCTGCAAATGATGGCTTGTACAACTCACTCTTCAGTGAGGAACTGTTAAGGAACGCAAAAAGTTAGAAAACATGCATTTAATTTCGAGAAAGCAATTGGAAAAAAGAAAGTCTTCACCCCCATTTTAATTAGACAAGTTACCTTCTTGCATCAGAGCACATGAGAACCACATGCTTGTTTGGAGCTTCGAAAATTCTGAAGAACACAGGAGTAAACTCCTCTAGTTTTTCTGAAGCCAATGTTAGAAGGCCGAATGGTCCAACCCCACCTTGAATCTTTGAACCCTTTTGTGCACAGAGATCTTGTGCATTCACCCACTTAGGATCAAATGTCTCTGCTTTGTCCAAGCTTGAGAATGAGAAGGTAACTTCCACATCAGCCTGCAATTTATATTATTATGTCATCACTCGTTAGCAAGCAAATTAGGGATTATAAACACAGCCTAATTAAATAGGTTAAGGTATCAATTAACTTTAAAGATGACCTGAGCAGCAGTAATCCCTTGAACTTCAACATAATCTCCCTTTTTAAGCTTTTGGTTGCTTATTTGAACTTCTTTCTCTCTAAGACTGTTTAATTCTTCGATAGGCCATAGTACCAACTGTTTCCCCCTAGAATCAAGCCATACAGTTCTTGGAATTGCCTAGAAAATTAAATATAAACATAGCATAAGTAAATTAAAAGAGGACGAGTTTGAAGTAGTGATAAAATTTCTTTTTTTGTGAGCTAGAGAGCACGTGTTTGAATTTGGAAAATAACTTATTTGCAAATAAACAAGAATAAAGCTGCATACAATGATTGTTCTCTCCTCATCCTCATTAGTGGTAAAAATAATAGGAATAGTTTTATAACATATGTAAACTAACAAAAAATTGAAGTATGTGTCATGAAAAGTAAGTAACAAGAGTAACTGGAATAAAAAACAAATTAAACTATAATACAAACATAAATTTAATTCAACGTACCTGAATTCCAGCCCATCCTTTCTTAACATCATCCTCTTTGGAATCTGATTCATTTGCCCAGCCATACAAGATCCTTCGATTCTTGCTTGGGTCAAAGAAAGACTTGGAAGCATAAAAGTTGCCATAATCATATCTAAGGCCACCCCAACCATCCTCTGAAGTGTTATCTGGGATATATGTATCCTTATTCCATAAATACCTTCCAACCGTATAGTATTCATATCTAGTCATGTCAAGGCTATTCTTGAGAACATGCTTAATGCTATTCCCAACCAAGGATGTGTCTAACCTGTTTTTTCCTTTCAAAGAAACCGGGTAAAAATCTGGGCATTCCCACATACCTGTGGTTGCGGCTGAATGGATCGGGTGCTTGGCCTGAACCCATTTCATAAAATCCTTGCTCCTATACAAATATGCCATCCCTCTATTTTTCCTTCTGCCACCAATCAACATCCTCCAATGCCCATCCTTGCCCCGCCACGCGGTGGTTGGGTCGCGGAACACACTACCGTTCATGTTGTGTTCCGCGATCACAATAGGGTTGAATCCATTGGGTTTTATCCACTTTTTGAGAAACGGGTCAGATGTATTTTCAGGTATGGCATAGCATTGGACCTCATTGCTATGCTTGTCAACAACTCCAGTATAGAGGATCACAGGTCCTTTACTCGGGAGGATGGTGGCTGACCCAGACCAACACCCATATTTGTCAAAGGGTTTAGATGGATAAAGAGCAGGTTCAAGTTCTTTCCAATTTATGAGGTTGTTTGATATTGAGTGGCCCCACACAATGTTACCCCAAACTGCACCTTTAGGATTATATTGATAAAATAGATGGTACACTCCCTTATAGTACATCGGGCCTTTGTGATTGACATTGAAGGGATTTGCATGCATGGTACAATAGAAAAGGACATAAATTAATGGTCAATGAAAGATGAAAAGAAAATGCAAAAATAAAAATAAAAAAATAAAATAAAGTCAACAATTGGGAAAAACTCACCGTTTGGATCTGCATGTGATTGATTGATCGATGCATGCGTACATCACACCATAGAGGCATTAGAAAGCACAGAAAGTTAGCACCCCATCAAGAAGTAAAATGGTTGGTTATAAATGTCAACAGCAATAAGCAAAATGTGTAAAAAAAAAGTTGCTTATTCCTAATTAAACAGTAACTTAAGGATATATTAACGAGGAGATAGATTCTTCAATATGCGTGGCTTATTGTTAATTTTAATAAGTTGTCACGTATTAGATTACTAATATGGGAAATGTTATAATTACTGCTTTTTTTTTCTTACTACTTGTTATTATCAAATCTTAACCGTTGATTTCTGTCAATCTAACAGTTATAATTTATTAGGTCATATTTGTTAATTAATTATTAATTCTAATAAATTATAATCGTTAGATTGACGAAAATCAACGGTTAAAATTTGGTAGTAACAAGTAGTAAGAAAAAAAGGTAGTAACTATAACTTCTCCCTATTAATATATCATTAATTACTCAATTTAATCATATTTATTGTTAAACATACCTTATTGATTGCTTATCGCATCAATTTCTTTTTGTGTATACTATTGGAAAATTTCTTGTATGAACTTGTTTACACAAATTGTGGGAATTAAACAGATTAGTAATATCAGATTATTATTTTATATTAAACCTACCCCTCAATTGATTTAGTCTACACAACAAAATTTATATAACCAGGTGTTTTACCTTTTATGTTAATTTTTCTAAAAGGCTAAATAAATAGAACCTGAGAAAATCAGTTCTTAATTAAGAAAAAAATAATAATCGTAAAAGAACTTGATTAGACTTCTATAACTAAATATGGACAAATTTTTTTATCCCGAGGCTAATTCCTTGTATAGAGCATGAAGATTTTTGCTTCTGGCTTCAAATTGCCTTGTCTAGGAATCGAATTAGAGACTTTTCAATCCCATTATTTCGATCCTTGATCACAGCCCGCTTACAAACTGTGTTATCCGTCGGGTTTTCACTAATTCTTTATAAACCGATGATCCTTTGGGCTAAGTTTTTTTTTATTACCTATGTATTCGGTTAATCATAAATCGATGGCAAAAAATTATTGAAAACTTAATTATAAAGTATATACGCATTATTTTCTTAAAATGAAGTAAGATCGTAGTTGGCTTTATGCTGTTTATATAATTAATTCAATCATAATACCATGGGAATATAAAAAATAAAAATAAAATCATGGGTTAACATACTCAAATTTTTTTTTGATTTAAATCAGCCTCATAAGAACTAATAATTTGAAGGTCTATTAAATTATCCAATTCTTCAGTTGCTCGTAAACCACAAATAAAACACTTAATAGTTAGATTTCTTCACCCAAAAAAAAAAAAAATTAAAACTAAATTTTATTTATCACACAAACTAATATTTATCTTTTATAAATAATAAAATTATTAATACGCGAAACAAAAAAAGTAGAAACATGATCACAACTATAATATACAAAACTTTTTGAATAAGCTAATAATTTATGTTAAAGGATGATAAACCGAGATAACTCCGCCTATGTGTGCTTGCATGCATAGTGTGTCCCAAACCAGGATAAAGGAGGAGGGTTGACGTCAGGTGTAGTGAACCAACCATAAAAAATAGCTATATTTTTATGTGATGAACCCATTTGATTTTTCGTTGGGGCGTACCCTTCATAACGACGCGTTGCATCGGGCTCCGGGTGTAGCGAAAAATGGGCTAGGGCCCTTGCTACAAGGCAAGGCGCTGCATCGGGTCCCGGGTGTAGTGAAAAATATGCTAGGGTCCTTGCCCCAAGGCAAGGCGCCAGGTCTCCACTCGGATTTGGTGAGAAGTATGTTAGGGTCCCAACACGCAGATGGGCGAGCGTGGTGGGCAAGTACAGCCCAGGGGTTAAGGATGCGATTGGGAAACTGGAACATAGGAACCTTAACGGGTAAATTGAGGGAGTTAGCAGATGTTTTTACTAGAAGGAAAGTGAATATTGTTTGTTTGCAGGAAACTAAGTGGGCTAGAGAAAAGGCCAAGGAAGTGGATGGAACTGGTTTCAAGTTATGGTACACAGGTATTAACAAGAGTCGGAATGGTGTTGGAATTATGATCGATAAAAGTTTCAAAGATAAAGTTGTGGACGTCAAAAAGAAAGGCGACAGAATCATTCTGGTTAAGCTTATAGTGGGTGATTTAGTCCTGAATATCTTCAGTGTGTATGCACCCCAAGTTGGATTGCAATCAATTGATAAAAGCCAATTTTGGGAAGACTAGGAAGAGGTTTTGAGGGGAATACCACGAGAGAAGATTTTTTTAGGAGGAGATCTAAATGGTCATGTTGGTAAAAGCAATGGAGGTTTTGATAGAATTCATGGAGGTTTTGGCTATGGACGAGAAATGAGAATGGAGAAGATATCTTGAATGTTGCACTAGCCTACGATTTGATGCTAGCCAACACCTTTTTTCGAAAAAGGGAGTCACATCTAATCACGTATCATAGTGGCCAAAATCATAGTCAGATTGATTTCTTTATGGCTAGAAGAGAGGATAGAACTTCTTGTGTCCACTGTAAGGTCTACCCTGGAGAGTGTGTCGCTACGCAAGGTTACTACCTTTTTGATTGCAAAAGTTTAGATTGGCGAGAAAAATGCAAAGAAAGCAGTGCGAGAAGCTAGAGGCAAGGTTTTCGCTGATTTGTATAAAAATCTTGGGAGCAAGGATGGTGAAAAAGGTATATATAAACTTGCAAAAATAAGGGATAAGAAAAGTAAAGACCTCACCCAAGTTAGATGCATCAAGGATGAAAATCAAAAACTTTTGGTGAGAGATAAAGATGTACATGAAAGATGGATGAACTACTTCAACAAGCTGTTTAATGGGGATGGCGATATAAGCGAGGTTAACTTGGAGGACGCTTATGATGATTTGAATAGAATATTTGTGCGCAGAATTAATACACATGAAGTTAAAGAGGATTTAAAGAGGATGAAGACTAATAAAGCCTTGGGACCTGATGGTGTCCCTATTGAAGTGTGGAAAGGCCTAGGGGGTGTGGCAATAAAATGGTTGACCAATCTTTTCAATAAGATTTTTTATTCAAATAAGATGCCCAATGCATGGAGGAAAAGTATGATTGTGCCTATTTACAAAAACAAGGGAGATATACAGAATTGTTCTAACTATAGAGGCATTAAGCTAATGAGCCATACTATGAAGTTGTGGGAGAGGGTTATTGAACATCGCTTGAGGAGAGATACCAAGGTTTCTGTAAATCAATTTGGATTCATGCCAGGAAGATGTACCATGGAAGGAATTTTCTTGATGCGACAATTAATGGAAATATAACGAGAAAAGAAGAAGGACTTACATATGGTGTTCATAGATCTTGAGAAAGCATACGATAGGGTTCCAAGGAAAGTTTTATGGTGGGTTTTGGAGAAGAAAAATGTACCATCAAAGTATATAAAGGCAATCAAGGATATGTATGATGGAGCTACTACCTGTGTGAAAGCTTGTAATGGAACATCAAGTTATTTTCCTATCACGGTAGGTGTACACCAAGGGTCGGCTCTAAGTCCTTATCTCTTTGCCTTAGTTATGGATGAACTAACAAAAGATATTCAAGAGGAAGTGTCATGGTGTATGCTTTTTACAGACGATATCGTGCTTATCGATGAGAGCAAAGACGATGTTAATAGAAAACTTGAATTGTGGAGAAGCATGTTGGAATCTAAAGGATTCACATTAAGTCGGAGCAAGACTGAGTATCTGAAGTGTGAGTTTTCTCTAGTAAGAGATGTAGACCAAGATCTCCTGCATCTAAGTGGTCAAGAGGTACCCAAGAAAGATGTTTTTAAATACCTGGGCTCCATTTTGCAAAAAGGTGAAGAGATTGATGAGGATGTAAAGTGCATCTGGACTTTTGTGTGACCGCAAAATCTCCCTTAAGTTAAAAGGAAAATTCTATAGAACAACAGTAAGACCTGCAATACTATATGGAGCTGAATATTGGCCAGCACATAGGCAACATGAGCATAAAATGGGAGTAGCAGAGATGAGGATGTTAAGGTGGATGTGTGGTTATACGAGGATGGATAAGATAAGAAATGAAGATATTCGACGAAAGGTAGGAGTACTACCGGTGGCTGAGAAGATGAGTAAACATAGATTGAGGTGGTTTGGGCACGTAATAAGAAGGCCTCTGGATGCTCCCGTAAGAACAGAAGTTTGTTACCAAGAGCTCAACACAAAAAAAGGTCGAGGTAGACCGAAACTTACTTGGGGGAAGGTAGTAAAACAAGATTTAATGGAGTGAGATATAGATTGGCGGACGGTATGCCTTAGAACGGAATGGAGAAAAGCTATAAGCATGATGGAAGGTTAGACCCGTTGTTATTCCTATGTTCCAGATAGTCCATTTTTAGTCCTTTTTTTCCTTCATTTTCCCCTCTTCTTCTTTTCCTTTATATATATATATATATATATATATATATATATATATATACTATTTTATTTATTTTTACTTTTCTTTTTCTTTTTCTTTTTTTCAATCTTTTTATATTTTTTATTTGAGTTCATCTACCATCGACCCCAATTAATTTGGGATAAAAATATTGTTGATGTTAATGATGATGATAAACCGAGATCTTACCACAACTAATTACGTTTATCTCTAAGAAAAGGCACTGCATGTGCTCTGAACATGCCAAAATCAGCACGTTTGTTGCTATTTCCATGATGTTTCAGAAAAATGATAGGATGACATGCAAACCAGTTCTTGGTTGTAACAAACGGTAACACTGAGGTAAGATTAAAAATGACCCATATATGTTTGTGAAGCAAGTTATGAGA